CTATATCCCTGAGACACAGAAAGGTACTTTCTACTTGTATGATTTGCCCTGTGCCTCCCTTCCATGAAGTAACCGACAGAGTAATTAATACTTGAGATTGGATTTGAAGTTCCTGAGTCTGGTCTATGTTTAGTCTATCACTGTTCACACTCCCTTCTCGATGGAAACTGACATCTCCTAATTTTCTGGTAAATGACTGAGTCCAGAGTAGGAAACCCTAAGGGGGTATTTACCTCAAAGCATTATATCTGTCATCAAAAATACCTGCAGGGCTTGTTAAAACAGAGCTTGTCTGAGAATGTTTACAGAAAACTCCAGCGAATTTCCTGGTGATCCTGATGGGGACCACACTTTTAGAACCAAAGCCCACACCACAAAGTATTCCCTTTCCTCCATGCCTACACTTGCCTATCCTCTTCCCACCCCAAAAAGAGAAAAAGGGGACGTTAGGGGTAGTCTTGGAAGTGAAAGAATTATTACGGAATTGAAATAAACAAGAGCACTTGAATAACTCCTAATAATTGCCTCTTGATCGCTTTCCCAGGAAGTTAATTTCTTAATTTTTACTCCTTCCATGAACTAGTCTATAGCAAAAATATTTTTCTCTCAAAAGATAAACTTTAGTCTTTAGGACAGACCTAAACCTTAATACCGCCTTCTGATGAGAATGAAGTTGGGGGGAATTGGGTGAGATTCATCTCCCCTTTATTGTCAGATAAAATACCATGGAGTAAAAGTCACTACTACTTGGGGGCTACTATGTGCCAAGGATTGTGCTAACTGAGCTAAGGCTTATATATAAGAACCTTCTCCCCCCCCCCCCACCAATTTGGGAAAAAGGTTATTAGCCCATTTTACATATGAGCAAACTGAGGGCTAGGGAGGTATTGACATAGACCTGATTATAGGTAGGTCAGGGATCTCAGGAATCAGAGATCAAATTTTTCTGCCAAAGATATTGGTGTATTTTCATAAATTTGATGTTAAATGTAAAATAATCTATCACAAAATGAAAGTCTTTTGCACATATTAAACAATTCTACTGTGATGCATCCAATCATTCGACATCCTTTTTTATTGAGCACATAGTATGTGCCATTCACTAGTGTTGGGTCCTGCGACACAGTGATACACAAAATGGAACACTTCCAAATATATTTTCCCAGAATGTTTCAGGAAAATTAGTTTTTTTGAGTTTGTTTTTTTTATTAAAATTGCTCAGAAATTACATATATTAGGCCAGAATTTCATTCTTCATTTCTAGCAAATCTTTGACTTCCTCGAAATCTCTGCTTAGCATTCCTGATTTTCTTAATGGAGCATATGCTGTTCTAGCTTTTAAAATATTTGTATTTAGATTGAATAATATTTATAAAGTGCAAATTTCAAAAGAAAAAATGGTATCAAAGAATTAATCACATTTTCACTCCTGACCCGCCATCACCTCACCTGACCGGGGCACCATTATCCAGTCTCCTTCCTGCCTATCTCTCGTACTGGCACTATCTACAATGTGCTCACCCCTGTTCTCCAACTGATCCCACAGATCATGCCAAGTCCTTACTTTGTTCCTTTGAGCAACAGTATGGATATAATTCTAAAACATGAACCAGGGTATTTAACCAGGCTCTGTTGATGGACACATAATATGGTCCAATATTCTGTTTTTACAAATAGTTCTACAATGTCTTCTCGTGTGTGTCTATCAATTTAGACTTGAGAAAGTCTATATGGAAGTGAATTTTCCTGCAAGGAGAAATGCTGGGTTAAGGGCAGATGGCATGAATAGTTTTAATTCAAAAATTTTGTTACAATAGCATTTTTCAAAAATAACAGATGAACATAACTAGAATAATGACACTTCCCCCCGTGACACACTCACACATATCTGCTGCTCAACTTCATGGTTATTGTTAATCCACAAGTGATATTACTTCCTATGATATTGGGCCTATCTGCTCTCCTCACCTCATATTATTTTGAAAGACCCTCCGCTGACATGCTAATTCACGGGTAAATATTTTGGCACTATTTCTGAAAATGAAGGGCTTTGACAGTGTATATGTGTGTGTAATCTTATTAATAGCAAGTATGTTGATAATGTCACATTTCCCCAGATTGTCTCTGAAAATTAGTGGGTTTTTTAAAGATTTATTTATTTATTTATTTAATTGTACAGAACTGGGGTACAGGCCAGAGGTGCAGGGCTGTGAGAGGATTCCCCAGAGACAGAGTGGGGTGCATAACAGGCAGATTAACGAAGTATGTGCTGAGGGGGGAGCCGCAAGCAAGTCATGAGAGGTCTGTGGGGCGCCAGGTGGGTCACCTCTGTGGCTGGGGATGAAACTCACACTGAAACAGCTGTGGCTCGCTTGCAGTGCTGTGTCCTAATCCACTGAACCACCAGGGAGGGTCGAAAATTTGTTTTAATAGTTTATTCTTTGATGAAAAATCTAAGGAAAGTGCATCTATTCATTCATTGCAGTTAGTTGATTTTTTTTTTTTAAATCTTTTGGTTTCCACTTCTATGTCTCTGCTTTTTTTTTCTTTTCATTTTTCTCAGCATTATTGTAGAAACTGGGTAAATTTGCCTCCAAAATGTGGATTTTGCTAATTACACTCCCTTAGAATCAATTAACATGTTCTTTTATCCTTTAGTTCAAAGGAGAAATGTAGAGGTTAAATTATAGAATTTCTTCACAAATAGTTTAAAAATTTTTTAGAATGTATGATGCAGCTAAGATATTTATTAGAATAAAACACAGAACTTAATGAGTAAGTACTGTCGATAAAAATAACTTTTTAAAAAATTATACATACAATTTAGGAAGCTTAAAAAATAACTAAAATAAGGAATCTGAAAGAAGGCAGAAATAATTCCTGTTTATTTTTTCAACTTGTTTTATCAACTGAAGCTTTAGATTCATCCTTTGAAAACTAGGAGATCATCTGTAATTTGCAGCTATAATGACAACAAAGCTAAATAACTCTCAGAGAGAAAAGACGTTTCTATATGCATCTTGCTCTGAACATCAAGACACTGACCTGCCTAGATTGTGGGTGGGAATTCAGGTTGGAGCTCAAATTGCCTTTCATGGGGGGAAGCTGGAGGTCAGGAAGGGAAAGCTGTATTCCTCATATCCAAACTAGTTAAGATCAGATCTATGGCAAGTCTCAGCCCCCTGGACCTGGCTGGAACCATGCAGGTATTGGAGGCATTTCCTATCCTGTAAGATACTAGCAGGGCTTTTTCAGCTGATAGACTCCTGTTTGAATCTCAGCTCGAATAGTTATTGTTCAGGGATCCTTAGGCAAATATCTCTGAGCTGAAATGTCCTCACAATAAAGCAAGCTGGGGTATAAATCTTGACCTAGAAGGGGTGAGGCTGAAGTGAGACACCATGTGGAGTTATTGCCAAGTGACTGGGAGCTAATCTGGCAAGTGTCAGGTTCTGTGCTTTCAGGCTGGAGACCCACAGAGTGTCTGACGTATGGTCAATCTAGAGAAAGCTATGAAATATGCTTTCTTCTCCAAAGCCCCTGCAGGTTTAAAATAATGTGCCTGCCCACCAGGTCTCTCCTGTGCCTCAGTTGGCCATCAGCTCGTCCTCCACTATGCCTGCTTGCAGCCGCTATTCAAAGCAGACACTTCTATTCCCCTTTCCCAAGTGTGGGGCCCAGCTTGTGCACACTCTCTTGAACAATACCATCTGTTTTGAGTGTGGGCAATGTTTTTCCACATCCTTTTTTGTCTCCCCCTTCCCCCAACCAGACATCTAAGCAGCCCTCTTGTCCTAAAGTGTTGGGTTTTGGGAATTGTACCTTTCCTGGCATTATTCATTCTTTTTGGTCATCTGGTTTCTTTTCTGTAATCTAAGGCAGAAAAAAGCAAACACATCCTAGGCATCAGTTTCTGCCTTCACTGGACTTGGTGAGTGGCCCTGTTAGAGGGCAGGGAGAGGGGCACTACTGAACCCCCAAACCTGCCTGCTCTAAATAGGTTCTGCCATCCGTCACATCAAGATAAAACATAAGAGCTTTAATGGAAAGGAACTTTAATACAATGAGTGTGCAATATAGAAAAGAATAGAGTCTCTAAATCAAACACCCAAAGTTGCCCATGCCCTGGTGGGTAAACGTCCACCCAAAAGGGACTGGCCCAAAGCAAGGCTTGAAAGCCCACAGCAAGCCTAAAGCGCCTTCTGGCTGGGGCCCGAAGAAAAGGGTCAGAAATGGCCAGACGAGTCTGAGAGGAAAAGAGCAAAATCAACATCAAGATACACGCTGCCATTGACCCCTCCCCACGGGTCTCTCACCCACATCTGTGGGTCTCTCACCCACATCTGTTTCAACCAGTCCAGGGCCAAGAAGAGGCCAGCTCAGCTCTTTACATGTCTCCGCTCCCTGTGCCTCTTCTGGCTCCCCATCCTGCTTCCAGCCTCTTCAGTCTCCTCCAATTCCTCTCTTCTCTGCTCAGCTCCACCCTCCTTCTGAGTAGGGCAGGGAACCTGGGAACCTGGAACCTCAACTTTTCCCGGGTCCACCAAGTAACCGTCCTATTCCAACCCTCCTATCTCTCCTACCACCTTCCCAGTTTCGCCTGCTTGGGTTTCCCCTGAACCCGACAGACAGCAAAGACGCCAGTCAACCGGTTCCTACCACTCAGCCGTGGCAGGTCCTGGCGGCCCCGCCGTCATTGCCAAAACTCGCCCCTATGAGGGGACTATGGGGGCGAAGCTCCTGCTAACCCCCGGCGCTGAAGACCCTGATGGAAACAAGAAGGCAAAGAAAGAATCGGGTCCGCAGCGCTGCTGCACAGGAGGTGGCGCGGCCACCAGGAGCCTAGGGGCACCCGCCCAGCCTCAAAGCGGCCTTCTGCGCCCCCGCCCCCGGCCCCACGCCGGTGCCAGCGCGGGAGCCCGCGCCGGCGCTCAGGAGGCGCGCGTCTCCTTATATGGTCAAATGACACGGCGGGGGTTCTCCGGGGCGGGAGCCGGCCGCGCTCACTCGCCCGGCTGTGCCGCCGCAGCCGCAGCACCCGGGAGCCACCGCCCGGGACGCCTGCCCGACCGCCCGGTCAGGGACTGCGGGGCCCAGCGAGCGGTGAGTGTCCTCCCCCGTGCCCCGGGAGGGAGCCTGGCCCCTCCACGGAGAGGCTGGAAGACAACGGAGCAGAGCCGTAGGGACACCCTGGGAGAGGGGCGCCGAGCCGCAGGGAGACCCCGGGAAAGGGAAGCTGAGCCGTGGGGAGCATCCGGAGAGAGGGGAGCCCAGTCGCGGGAGATACCCAGAGAGGGGAGCCTTGTCGTGAGGGACACCCGGAGAGATGGGAGCAGAGCTGGGGGAGAAAACGGTAGATGAGAAATCTGAACCCTGATGGGCGCGGTAGGCTAAAGGGACCCACTGCCGGTCTCTGGAGGGGGCACCCTCAGGTGGCCAGGAGGATCGCTGCCACCTACAGCTGAGCTCTTAGCAAAGGCTGGCCCTGTGTGCATGCACCAGGAGGTGATTGCCCCCTCCCCCGGCTCAACTCCGTGGGGGTGAGTGGTGTGGCTGGGTGGTGGCTCCCCTCTGTTTGGGGTGTCCCACGCATTCATCATTCTCCAGTGAGAGGAGAACTTACCCTGTGGCCTCGCTCACTGTCTCCTGCGGAAATTAAAAAGATAACCTTTTTTTAAAGGGTTTATTTTAAATGGAAAAAAAGTCTAATCTTAAATTGCTCTCCTGTGATAACTTAGCATACATGATACTTTGGGAAAAGGGTTGAACATTTCTGATTTTAAATGAAGACTGGGTCATATTTATATTCAAGTCCCATTGTGATTTCCATTAGGAGTCTAACCCGGGTTAGTGAATGTATACAGCTGGCTGGCTGCCACTATTTGAACTCTTGGTATGTACTCCCTGGCACTTACCTGAGAGGTAATAAATTGAAGTTAGGTCTAATAACCAGGAGTACTGAGCTCAAAACACAATGCCAAATAAGTCTGATACCTGTGCTGTGCTTTATAATAATAGCAGAAGGCAACTTTGGTCTCCTGGAGGTGATTTAGACCAGAAGACATTCGAAGCAAATCTTAGTAGGACATGAATTTCTAGTCTGACAATAAACTTTCATAAAACTAAACTTAATGAGGAATGTTTCATTGTACACTCATGTGAAATGTTTTTTCAAGGTATTTTTCAGATTTAGCTTATCCTGAAATTTTTTTAAAATATTCATTTATTTATTTATGCATACAGAACTAGGGTACAGGCCAGAGGTGCAGGAAAGGTAAATGGATTCACCAGAGACAGAGCAGGGAGCAGAACAGGCAGATCAAGGAAGTATACTGCGGAGGGGAGCAGCAGGCGGGTCAGGAGAGGTCTGCCACGCCATGTGGGTCACCTCCCAAGGCGGGATCGACCTCCCACTGAAGTGGATGTGGTCCCACTGGTCTTAACCATTGCGCCACCAGGGAGGGCCCTTACCCGGAATTTTTAAGGGTTATCATTTAATGTGTTGAATTGGGTCTCTGTGGTGTTCAAAATACTTTTACACAACTACATGCAGATAAAACCGAGATGGAACTCCTTGACCAGCAGGCACTGCTGTAGGCACTTGAATTAAGAATCTCATTTGGTCCTCACAAGTATGCCACGAGATGGGGAATAGGCCAGGGTGCAGGGATAGGCTCAAGCTAAGCTGCCTGACTTATGCCCCCATCTCACAGCCTGGAATTGTGCAATCTCATCCTGGTTACCGAACAGCTCAGTGTCTGTTTCAACTGGAAAACTGGAGTCTGGTGGTGGCTTCCTCACAGGATCGTTATAAAAACAGCACATCATAAACGGTATATAATACTTGATATTATCCTAGTTTTTACAAAGACATTGAAGCATAGAGAGATCAGAGTAATTTTGCTCTAGGTTTCTTAGCCAGCAAACGGTGGCTTCAAGTTCTAACCTCAAGACAACGTAACTGGAGAGCTTGAGTTGTTACCACTAAACTCTTAGGGGCACACCTAAGTATTTCAGTGAAGCCTTAGGCTGCATACTTTGCCCCACAATTGCTTATTAAATCACTTCCTGCCCAGTAGGATACTGAAAAAAAATTAGACTGGTCATACGGTAGCTTGGATTCTACCCCTATCATGCCCTGAGTCACTTGCTCAGCCCCGTGACATGAACTACCTCAACTGTCTTCAAAGGGGTGAAGTACGTAAGCTGCTCTCTGACTCAGACGCCCTGGGAAAAAGAACTTAAGCCTGAGTGAACACACACAGAAGAGGTTATCTACTTCCTGTGTCTTCTCAAAATAAAAATGTTATCAAAGCCACAGAGAGACCACTTTCTCAAGATGCCCACCTTGAACAAAATGCACAAGTTGGGCGTTTGGCCTTCCAGGAGGCCAAGCCTTGTGCCTTTGGGTGAGTCAAGGGAGTTGCTTCTGTCATCCCAAATTGTGGATTTCAATTGTAGCTCCAGTCACAGCTCATTATTCCAGTTTGACTGGGTCACTGGACACCCAAACATTTGACTAAATTACTTTCTGAGTATGTCTGTGACAGTGTTTCTGTATGAAATTAGCATTTGAATCAGGAAACTTGGCAAAATGGATTGCCCTCCCCAATGTGGGTGGGCCTCACCAATCTTTTGCTAGACCTGCACAGAACAAGGTGGCACAGGTGGGATTCTTCCTGTCTGACTGTTTGTCTGGGGTGTCAGTCTCATTCTGCACTACATTGAGCTGGAATATTGGTCCTTCCCAGCCTTAAGACCTAGATAGAATCATCCACTCTCCTTGGTTTTGAGCCTGCCAGCTTGTGAATTTAAACCCTCTACCTTCCCGGGTCTCAGGCCTTCAGATGCAGACTGGTTCTAGCATTCTAAGGTTCCAGTTTGCCAGCTACAAGTCTTAAATTTCTGAGCCTCTAATATTGTGAACCAGTTCCTTATAACAAATTTTGCAGGCAGGTATAGGTACATGTATATAATGTTCCACTGGTCTGAGATCCTCGGAGAAATCTAACTAATACTTTGCTTAAAAATTATCCCCATCACTTCCCAGTCTCACTTTTTAAAGATCCCCTCACACATCAGGGGGTCCTGATTTTCCTGTCGCTGTAAACTGTGGCTGACCACTAAGAAATACGACAGAGGTCCAGCTTCTGTCTCTCCACCATTAGTCCACCTCTCATGGGGTGATCTCATGCTTAGCCTGAACCTGGAGATCACATGCCATCACACTGTCGTTTGCCTAGATAATCTATACCTTTACTGCTGTGATTTTCATGTGAAGTAGTAAGAGAAGCAGTAGCCCTATTTTTATGGGCAAATAAAATTAATGTCTAAAGGCATCCCAGGAGATAGCCCTGTAAATGTGTAGGTTATAAACATACCTGTGGGTTTCGAGGTTTTCAGATCTATGATAAGAGACATTTTGGAAAAAACAAGAATTAGCCAGTCCAGGAAGGAAATAGCAGGGAATATTCGAGTCTGTCATGACAGTCTTGATGTTGACCCACGAGTCTTGATATAGGGGCAGATATGAAAGGAGAATGAAGAGGCAAGTTTTCATGCAAGTTGGAAGTGCTCAGAGAACAAGGCCAGTCAAGGTCAAAGTAGCAGGAAGGCCATACATAGGACAGTAACAGCTTGCTTTTAGAGATTGGAGGAGACTCGTGAAAGAGAATGAGTGAGCAGTTTTCATTGTTCTTTTAGAAACCTAGAATAGGTTTCCTGGTAGCGCAGGGGTTAAAGACACAGCACTATCAAGCTACCGCCAGCCACTGGGGTGTGATTTCTATCTCCGGCCAGGGAGGTGACCCACATGGCACAACAGACCTCTCCTGCTTGTTCTGCTCCCCACTCTGTGTCTGGTGGAGCCTCTCACTGCCCCTGTACCTCTGACCTATTTATGCAGATTCTCTCTGCATAAATAAAAATATTTTTTTTAAAGGAAAGTAAAAACCCAGAATGAATAACTTGCTGGCATGTTCCCAGAAGAGCAACAAAAGAACTAAAGGGTTGGGTCTCCCACTGAGCGCCCCCATACTCACCAGTGAAATTTATGAAACATCCACCATTCCAACCTGTTTGTCTTGCTTCACCTGAACTGACACGGTCTGAGATTAAACTACAAGATAGTATCTCAAAGGTGATTTAAATTCTTTGGAGCTAGACCCTGACTGGACCTCTTTCAGAAATTCTGTGCTTTATCTCAGTCCCTGTGCTAAGACAGGGGAAGTAGTAGTTACTTCCCACTTTCCGTTGCTTGAATTTCTTATTTTCCCATTTCTTTTCAATATCTGAAAAGACAATTCAAAAGACAGAGGATTGCCTTATAAAAGCATTGCCTTTCACACAGAAAAGTTCTTCAGCTAATGGACAAATAATTAAGACTTTTTAAATTCTGAGCATTGCCAGTTTATAGCCTGGTCCCGCCCACAGGTGTATTCTGTAAGGCTCATTAAATGAATCCATGAATATGTTATGTAGCAGTAAATAACAGCAGTCTCACCTTACCAGCAATCTAAAAAGCAGTTTCAAATGGCCTCTAAATACATCATTAAATATTTTGAAATAACTGTCTGTCACTACCAGTGTCCTTCTCCCTGTCACCAGAATTGTTATTTCAAAGAAACAGGCGGGTGGACCTGTAGAAGAGATTTGGGGGAGCCGTGTTTCTGTCTGTATTTCCACCCATGTACACATGGACTGGAGCAGGGTGTTACACTTCCTAGTGAGCATACATACTTTTGAATAGAAGATCTGTGACTTACTGGCTCGTTGTAACAGTGTAGAACATTCTGGCCTTTTAGTCATATTCTTGGGTTGGATTCTAGGGTGTTATTTACAGAGATGCTTAAGAGAGTCTTCTGGCTGGCTTTTGCCTCTTGATCTGACCAGGTCTCACCCTGGACCCCACTGCTGTGTGTATTCACATAGGTTTTTAATTCAAATGCAGTAAGAAATATTCTGCCTCCTCTAGAAGCGGCAATTTATTTGGAAAACAAAGAGGTCAGAGACAGGAGAAAAAGAATGAATGAAGTTCAGCATCTGTTACATTAGAAATTTTAACTGCATAACGTGCCAAACTGCATTACATTTGGGTTTGCTCT